AAATATGCGAAACAGGTGATACAGTTAATCACAGCAATAAAATACAATCTAGATACTACTCCTTACTTATACGTAGCTCACATAAAATTAAAAATTCCTGCATGAGTTGGACAATTCAGCTTAAGTCCCACCTTCACGTATACACCCCTCTCCCTGCGTGTCGAATGAAGCGACAGTATTAAAGAACCATTTTAAAAGTAAAGAAATTGTGTTTGTTATACATTTTGGCTGCAATTGTCTTTCCACAGAGGAGCAGAAGCACAATTTGTATCACAGTAAACGGTCTTCCTTGTCTTACATGGATACCCTGCTAAGGTTCCCATTAAGCTTTAACACACCAGCCTGGTGCACACCTGACATCCTAATAAATGTTGAGTACAAGAAGTCCTCCCCGGGCTTGCATGTTCCTTTTTTTCTGTAAATTATTCCTCCCTTCTCTTTTTGGAACAGTGGCTGGCATTATGTGCAGTCTAAACCTAACGCCAAAGATGGGACCCTAAACTTTGTGTTCAACATTGCGGGATGAACTTTGCCTTCTTATTTACAATTGTGTGTTCCAAAGCTTAGTAGGTACTTTCAAAGGTGATGATGATGATAGTGATGTTGATTATGCAACTGCCAGTGCTCACAGCCTTCCCAATTTGTCAACCTCTGTATATATTGGACTACAGATCCCATCAACCCCACCTGACCAGTAGTTGTAGGGTAAAACAAGAATGAATGTTCACACAGACAGGAGGTGAAAGACTTGTTCTTCTCACTGCTCTCTTTAAGCATCTCATCAGCTCAGTCCAACCAGGCTTTCTTCAACTTCACCTTCCTCTCAACCCATTCCCTCTTCCTTCATATATTTGTTTTGGGATCCACTCATTCATTCTCTCTATATGAACAAACCATCCTGACGCACTTCTTTCATATTGGCCATTTCTGTTTTCAGTCCATCTTCATTCATCATTTTTCTACCTGATCTTTTCTTGTTTTACCACACATCCTTCTTGAAGATCCCATCCATGCTGCATGCAACTTATTTTTATGCCTCTGCTAATCCTCCTGATTCTTATAGAATAAACGGGTAGAAGCACACTCTTATACAAAGCTGTTTGCACTTCTTCCAAGCATCCTTTTTCAAACTTCCCATTGGTATATACTCCTCTTCTATGACTCTTTATAACATAATTCTTTTCACTCTGTTCTAAGCAGCTTCCTCTTTCCTTAGTCTATTTTCTATTCATTATTCTGGGAAATGATAGACATTCTTCTAAGGACACACTACCAGTCATCAGCCTTGTTCATTTATGGGCCTCCAAATGGCCCAGTTTGCTTTTTTTGTTTTTTTTATTCTCTTGCTACCACACAATTTATATTTTCTGGCATATGTTTCTCATTCACAATTAAACCTAAATCTTCATTTCCCTGCACATATTCATCAGCTTTGCTCCAGAAGATCAATCCACCTTCATTCAGATCTGTTTCATGTTTCACCTTTCTGGTATTTTCCCCAACATAGGATGGATCTGTTTTTCTTCCATCTCGTTCTTTACTTCATGCCTTTTACCATTTACAGTAGTCTTCCCGAAGTCTAGATTGTGGTCTTGCATATGCCATTAGGGTGACCAGATAGGCCCACAGATGCGCACTGCCCATCACAGCTTTGGTCAATCAAGGCTTTCACACCACACTTTTTAGGGAGATTAAACGAAGCCTTCAGTCTCAGTCACATCCATGCTATATGCACTTTCCCTGTTAATGGTCAGGACGGCATCTGTGGCTTGGGCACACTTTGGCCAGGATGCCAGACGCGCAGCCACAACCCAGGTTTCTCTTAGGGTGTTCACAGTATTCTTGGTAAGGTAAGATCTCTGATCTAAAGACTGACTAGCAAGTCAACCTAGTACTGCCCATTTCTCACCAACTAGGAGGGACATAGAAGTATTCGCCCACAGTCCAGATTCCCCCAACTTTTCCATTTGAAAATCTACCCTCTCCTGCCCTGCAGTGAATTTGGTACCTGGTTTGTAGTTCCTGAGGATTTGTCCTCCTCCTAACAGCCCTTTCTCCCACCCGCCACCCAGCAGATTTATCTTCCCTCACATTATGTTATAAGGTAGAATTCCAATTAGACCTAATTTAGGATTAACTTTAAAAAAGAAAAAAAATCCTTGCTTTTAATTCCCCAAGAGTATAAGCAATCCTGTCATTCTAATTAATTAAGTTTGATGGAAAATAAATCCGACATACAGCAAGCTGATTTATTTGCCTGGATGTGTCCGGCATTGTTTTTCCCTTTCCTGGATTCCGTGCTGCAAAATAAAACCCTGTCTGTGCCGCTCTAACAAATCGTTGTTTTTTTTCAAACTGTTGAAAGCTCTGCTTGTCCGGGGAAAATGAAACCAGTGGCAAACTTCTCCTCGTGTTTGTCTACGGTTAGTTGTCTATTTTTTCTTTCGTGTCTCACACACAGCCCTTCACTTTTAGGTCATGCTGCGATACGAGCCCATGGCTTATGCGTATTGGGCCTTTTTTGCTCTAAGTACAAGTAAACAGATCCCAAAGCGGTATACATGCTGGTATAAATGCTCTCTTTCCTGAGCACACTCAAGTACTGTACCCATTCCAAGTGACTTATTGGAAACAGAAAGCCATTTACCTCTGCCTGACTGAACTTGAGCATATAATGAGTTCATTTCATGAAATTTGGTCTGAAAACAGCAGGAATTTTTCTGGCTATGAATTCTGGTTGTTTCGTGTGTAACTTTCAGCTAAAGAAAGCAAAAAAAAAAAAAAAACCCTCATCTGTTGGCATTTAAAATGGAGTTTACTGTGTCTGAATCAGCATGAGGGAAAAAAAGTTGGAAAATGTGTATTGGTTTTTATTGCAACCCTTTTTGGTTGTCTTTTGTGGGGGGCTTTTTAAATACATTCAAAAGGATGGTTCAGGTATACCAAATGAGAGTATGCATGACCTCTCCCTCTCGGTCATGCAGAGGGGGCATGCTACGGACCCCGCCCGCGAGGGAATTTCATCTGACGGGGTCCAGGAGGCGAGCCTTCTCTGCAGCAGCCCCTGCCCTTTGGAATCAAGCCCCCTCCCTGTTAGAAAAAAACTGAAGACCTGGTTTGGTCATCACGCATGGGGTGGGGATGGGGATAGTCAGTGTTGGGGCTGGCTGGTTCCCTAGTCTTACCTTGGACCGATATTAT